GAAGCTAGCATTAAAGATTGGCTGCGGATCTCTGTGCTTCACTGCGAAAAACGTTGAAAGATGATAAACCTCTGGTTAGAAGCGCTGCGTGAGATATGCCACCATCTGACAGTAATAAGAAGAAAGGAAAGCTTCTTTTTAGAACGCAGAGTCACTGGTAGGGGGCTGCACAGGGTCATTTTAGTTGAATACTCCAAGTGAACTAGTGAACACTGCAAGTACCACTATCTCGCATCTTTTCATCATATAATCATCACATACAAGTACCGCCATCCAGCGGACGTTCCAAGGGCTAAAACAAGAGGTCGCTACTACATACAGCAGACACACAAGGAGGATTAAAAAAAATTCGGCAAATCCCGCGTACCTAGGAATCGACGTTATGCGAAGCACGCAGAGGGAATGTGATCATGCTGCAATTTTTTCATTGAGCGACACGTCATGAAATGGCGCTAAATATATGTACAAATGTTGCATGAACAGACATATGCTGAAAAGTTGCAGATGTTTATACAGCCAGTTGTTTGCACTTGCACAACGATGGCAACTGGAACATGCGTATTAGCAACATCAGAAGCTGATGTGAAGTGCTGATGCTCGCGAGGATGCTGGCCCTGAACACTGCTACATAAATCAACTTCAGCGCATGACAACTAACCACAATGAACGTTCACCCGACGTGACGGCTGTATCAAACCAGTACATAAGTAATGTTTATAAAATTGGGTAAGCCACACTGCAAACACTATTGATGTTTCACGAAGATCGGCGTCTGTTTGAAAAGTAGTTGCGAGTCCAGGCGTAGCTCTGTGGTAAAATGCTTCATTGCCACGCAGAATTCTTGGGTTCGATTCCATCTGGGACCCTGACATTTACTCTTTGCATTCGTCGGGTCGACGCTAGCAATGTAGGGTATTTCTGAACGCTCGTGCGTCAAAATTTCCCATGTGTGTTCTCGTGGTTCTTGTGTAGATACTAAGTGTTAATCATCTGTGGCACATACACGCATAGCAGCGGCACATACCCGCTCTTGGGTATGTGCCACTGTCTGGCGGGAAGTGTTTGACGACGTACGTGACGTGATTCTTTCGTTATTTATGTCTTGACCAGCGCGTAATACTCGTCAAATCATCTTACCTTTCCATGCTAGTTTTTGTTCACGCCATGTTAAGGGGGTGACCACTATAGCATTTAAACGTAAGCGGCTAGATAGATAGATAGATAGATAGATAGATAGATAGATAGATAGATAGATAGATAGATAGATAGATAGATAGATAGATAGATAGATAGATACTCACAAAGTTGCCGAAGTTCACAAAGAATGCCTCGCATTAAGAAAAATATCAGCATATCCACCCCGTGGATATGCTGCCATATCCACCCCATGGATATGCAGTGGATATCCATCCCGTGGATATGCAGATATAGAGTGGGGCGAAGTATCCGTCCGTAGATTAGTTCTTGCTTCCGTCCGTCCATGCGTCCGTCTGTGTGACCGTCCGTGCATCCATCCGCCTGTCGGTGCGTGCGTCTGTTCGTGCATCCACACATCCATCCGTGCATCTGTCCCTGCGTTCATCCATGCATACACCCCTGCGTCCATACATACGTCCATCCGTTCGTGCAGCCATGTGTGCGTCCGTCCATGCATATGTCTGTGTGTCCGTTCGTCCATCTAGTCAACACTCCATGTACCACCATCTCGCATCTTTTCATCATATATTCCGTATATAGAAGCACCACCATCCAGCGGACATTCCAAGAACTAAACGAGAGGTGGCACACACACACACTTTCTTACGGCTTGCGCTTTTTGTCTACTTCCCACCTTTAACCACCTCGAGTTCATGGTATATACTAGCTCACTGTAATCATGGCACTGCGGCCCAACGCTCGCTAAACCTTTCTAAAAGGAGGTTACGCCCACCAAGTATAACCTAGCAAACCTTTCTTTTCAGATAGTGATCAATGTACATGCCAATGGCTGCTCATTGTGAATGAGAGACAGGAGAATTTGGCTTTTGTTAACGCGCACGCTGCGAATTTTTTAATGTTCAACAACGCACAGGAGAAATCTCCCACCGGTGCCGCCTTGCAGGTCAAAGAGTAAGAATGGTTACACACTATGACTACGACGAGGGACGAACGGGTGCCGCTTTAAGGAGCTTCGCCCCTGAAAATTGTTGGAGTGGAATCTCCCACAATGCCTTGCCAGCAGAAGAGAAGCCAGCTTTTGCCACTGCCAAGATGACGGAAAGATGCTTTTTTCTGGTAATGTCCACCTAAATAATAAGTGGCTTTGATATGGTAATGTAAATGCTACGTTAGTTCATATCAAAAGATAGTTGTTACCGACGAAATAACACACAGAAAGGAGACTGAACCTCCAAAGAATTTTGCCTCGGGCTTACTTAGGAAAACTAGTGACACTAAGACGCACTTGAAGCACTATGTGACCCGAAAATATTTCTACATTAAACTCGTTTGGCATGTGATCGAAAGGCTCCGTTCTTAACTGCTGAACGGTATTACTCCTCCAAAGAGGTTTAAAAATTGCTGGAGTGGAAATTCTTGCCCACGAGTGAAGCCGTGCCAGCTGTAAGATGGCGGCTGCGGCAGGCATCCTACTAGAGCATGATGAGCTGTTGGCGTTCGGCGATTGCCAAGGCGCGTTTCCCTTGCGCGCCCAACGAGTTTAACGGGACAACCTTTTCGGGTGAGATAGGGCTCAAAGTTCGTCCGTGTGTTACTCGTTTTCTTAAGCAAGCCTCGAAATGAAGGCAAGTTTCATTAGAGATTAAGTCACCGATACTAGTCTCTGCGGATTATTTCTTCGGAAACAACTGTCTTCTAATTTAAAATAACGAAGCCCTTAGACTAACAAATGAAAGCGACTTGATGTCTAAGTGGGCACCACCAGAAAATAGCATGTTTATGCAAATTTTTGGAGGCTGAAAACGGGCTTCGCTACTGCCGGCAGGGCATTGCGGGAGTTTCGATTCCAGCAATATTTTTCGACCTCCTTGACTTCATCATGACCCTAGTAAGATGGCCACTGCAGCCGCCATCTTGCTATAGGCGCAGCTTCATTCGTGGGCAATCATTTCCACTCCAGCAATTTTTTAAATCCTCCTTGGAGATGCACGACCCACTCCTTAAAGACTTCGTCCCTAAAATACTACGAAGTGAACAAAACAAACAGCGGACTCGGCTCGGCATTGGCATTTCACAGCGGCGTCTCGAGCACACTTTTCCGGATGTTCTTGAGAGGCGCCCAGCCAGCGAACGGGAGAGAGTGAGGCGCGAGTGAAGGGGAAAGTGGGGCGCAGTGAGGAGAGCGAACGGCGAGAGAAGGAGCAGCGAAGGACTGTACCTATCCTCTCCTCCACTATCTCGCACCACATGCTCTGGTCGCGAGGATAAGCGCGCGCAGCCGTTGCCATGAGAGGAAGAGCAAGAGCGGAGAGAGTGACACCGCGGACAACGCTGGATGCCTGACATAGCTCGATTAAGAAATGCACTCGCATTAAAAAAAAAGTTACAAAACTTCCGAGTTGGCGGATCAAAAGTCAAACTGGCAGTGGCTAGTTACTGTAGCATTTCTTTACGAAAACGTCCTTTGCTTTAGCTTCATGGCGCAACAAGGAAAAAAAATAAAAGGGGGTATATTGTGCTACATTTTCAGTTCCCCCAATTCAGAAGGAGCGTTTCTTTCCAAGCAGAACACTGTTTAAAGCTAATGATAATATGATAATAATTATAATATTGTGGAAGTGCTGTGTATAAAGAAGAAAAAGAACCCTTCAAAATTACCCTTCTTTCCTTCAATGTTTAGCATTTCTATTATGTCCAGTTACCCATTTTCATTTTATGGCCTTGTCGGTTTTGTACTGTGGCGCAGTAGCTACCATGGTTCTGGCGCATGCAAGCCTAAAAAAAAGCTTCAGCCATTTACACACCTTGAAAACCGTCGGACCGCGAACCTGCAAGCGCGTGAGTGTACGATTAACCAGTGAGATCACGCGATGAGGTCAATTTGCTGATTGATTTTAAATACGTGCTCATGCACGAGACTTGGCAAATACGTCACGTGACTGCGGCTTCAGGCAATGACGTTTCAGCGAGTGCCTCGTGACACGCGATTTCTGAAGAGATCACGTGACTGCAAGCTCAGCAAACACCTCACGTCAAATGGTTTGTGTCAGGCGCAGCCGCACTTCCACCGTGTCTGCTCCCAGTTACCTAATCACACGACTCTCTTACGTGTCCACTTGCCCATAATCAACTAATTACAGTCATATTAAATCTGTAAATAATTTAAATATGAAAAGTTCAAATTGATATCTCGAGAGTTTGTATAGAAAGTCATCATTGTTTCGAAAATTATCGATGCGATTCATTCGAACTCCTTGAGAAAAAACTTCATTATAATCATATAGAGCATCATCATCACTAAAATTTCTTTTTATTTCTTTATTATGACTACCATATGTAGTGTGACATGTTGGATTTAACGTCCCAAAACCAACATATGCTTATGAGAGATGCCGTAAGGGAGGGCTCCGGAAATTTCTACCACCTGGGGTTCTTTAACGTGCACCCGAATCTGAGCACACGGGCCTACAGCATTTCCACCTCCATCGGAAATGCAGCTGCCGCGGCCGGGAGTCGATCTCGTAACCTGCGGGTCAGCAGCTGAGTATTTTAGCCACTAGACCACCGTGGCGGAGCTGACTACCATATGTTAACTTAATAGCGTGTGAAGGCGCGCCAGTTAAGAAGCAGTGCAAAAACGCAGCACTTGCCTAGTCCTGTGCTCATATGATCACGCTACATGTGAGACATCTACTACGACTACTATTCCTGCTAGTACCACGATGACGACGACAACCGTGCATTTTAGACTTAGTTTAGCTGTAAAATATCCTACGCAATTTCAAACATGAAAATGAGAGTGAAGTGAGATGCGTCTGAGTTTCACTGCATTCGGCACCTACCCACGGTGGTGAAGACCGTGCAGCCCATAGAAAGGGCGATCGAGATGGCGGCCTGTCCAACACCTCCGCTTCCGGAGTGGACCAGCAGGGACTCCCCGGGCCTCATGTTGCCTCGAACCACGAGGGCGTAGTAGGCGGTTGAGTAGGCCACCGGAACCGTGGAGGCCTCCTCGAGGCTCCACGACTCTGGTACCTCCCACAGGAAGCCCGGATCGGCGTTCACGGCCGTCGCCATGCCTTGGGAGGCCACGGATCCCATGACTCGGCGACCGTGGGGGTCACGGCCGGAGAACTCCAGGCCGAGGACGCAGTCGGAGGTAGCCAGGTTGCCTGTTTGAATGTGGGCCGTACACACAACGTTTCGATGAGCATTTCAATAACAAACGAGCAATTTCTGCGTAATTTGCATAAATATATCACGAGTTTCAACATCCTCTCATATTGGAAAGTCCCTGGAGATCGTGGGCTTGAATTTTGGTCATGGCAGCCACGTTTCGATGGAGATGAAATGCTGCAGGCTAGTTTGTATGGATAGAGGTCAACGTGCAGGGCCGTAACACCCTATTATCGATCATAACCTGCTATGCAGGTCAATCCTTGCACATTCACAAGTAAGCTGAAAAAACTTTGCGTATTTCGTCGAGCACACAATTTGGAATTGAATATTTTTGCAAATGCCCGAGTGGCCTGTGAGTAGGAGAACATTGGTACATTTGCGAGCCGTGACGTATTAAGAAACTAGCTGTGCGAGCATGTGCTACCTGGCGGATATCGTTCCGTGGTCAGCTACGTGGGAAATTAAGATCATTTAGCTTTCTTCTGCTTGGCCCTGAAATGAAATAATTTGCAGCAACTGGAACTACACTAGAAGATGACGGCTCCCCTCTTTTCAGCCCACGACGTCACACGCGCCATAGCGAAATAGCGGTCGCCGGTGGTGGGCGTGGTTTACAGCTGGTGACTTCTGCTGCTTGTTTTTTTGCAGTTAGTTATTCCTGAAAAGTCTACTGTTCATATCTGTATAGGCTTAATGCACCATGTACTCCTTCTTTTTGCTCAAAACTACGAATTTCTGGGTGACCGTGTCAACGCCCCTTTGAGGAGACCCAGGGTGTTGTAATTTACGGGACCTTGTACTAGCAGGCAGGCAAAGAACTTTATCCTGATCCGGAGACGACGTTCACTCCCCCCTTATAGGGGCGACATCGGCGGGCCACACCCACGACAGGACGGGGACATGCATCTCCTCGGCCATGTCATAAGTTCTCTGGATAGCCCGTAGCTGGTCTTCTCGTTGCTTGTGGGAAGCGATTGCCAGTCCTCCTCCAGTGAGAGAGACCAGGGGCTCTCACGCAGTGCAGGGCCTTGTTACAGCATGTGTTGTAAAGTGCAACGCGGGTTACCACAGCGAGGGCAGCCTGACTGTACGCCGTTCATATATTTAGAACACTTAAGGGGAGAAGCGTATGCCTCAGCCTGTAGTTGACGTCACGTGATAGATTGAGCTCTGTTTAGAGTAGAATAATACTTCCCTTGGGACCACACTGAGGTTTGTAACGTAAAACGCAAACAGTTATTCCTGACAATTTATAGTTGAGGCACGCGATAATTTTTTTTTGCATCTTACAGTCGGTACGCAATATTACAGTCAATTGAGAGTTGCGGTTCAGCTCGAAATTTTGCAGGCATCGCGCACCAGAAAAGTGCAATCAACAGAAGGACCCATTTCTATTTGTCTTCTTATCCTTGATTATTAGGCGTAGATGACAATTTGTAGCATTCATCCAACAATGGAATATCATTTTCTGTGTTCTAAATTAATTGATGAATTATATATGCAAAGAAAGATGCACCGGAGGCACAACATTGTAGCTACTTACCGGGTAAGGCATCCGGTGGAAGCTTTCCAGTGGCTAGCATAATGTCTCGGAAGTTGAGCGGAGCGTAGTAGACACTACAAAGGACGCTATTCACACTGGTGAGTGGTGAAGCGTATCGCAGCGGTGACTCGTACCACTGAAGACTGGACAGGTCACCTCGCGTCTGCACGTTCAGGAATGCGTACGGTGTGGTAACTTTCGGTGGTCCGTGGGACTGCGTGACTATGTGCCTGTACGACCCCCACTGTCCATCGCGGTAGACGTTCATGACCAGGTTCTTCTCCAGTATCTCTTTGTACTCTGGATTGCTAGGCCTGAAATCGGTGACCTTGTTGGACACCTTGACGCTAGCGTTGAGTATGCACCTAACATGAGTTCCGCTTTCCTGCCTGAGGCAGTTGGTCAGTCCTACGACTCCGCTGATATTCGCATCCTCGCCGAAAAGCCAGACGTTTTCTCCGGTGGGCCTGTTCTCGAGCTCAGCTATTTTTGTTTTGAGAGGCTCGACCCAGTCGTAGCCAGTGTTCTTGACTCTGATCACCTCCTGCTTGGTGACGTCGACCGGCACACTCTTTCGGAGCAACAGAAGCGTGCAAACATTGTTAGATTTGAGGCCAACCACGCGGAATCCTCTGGCAAGGAATGCAGCTTCCAGGGTCTTCCTTGTGTGGAAACGTAGCGGTACTTTGCTGATGGTCGACAGGAACATCTCGGCCGGAGTAAGGGCCGTGCGCTGTGCGAGCAGGACGAAACCATTCTCCTTGCATAGGGAGTTTATCTTCTCAGCCTCGGAGTCCAGACTACGGCCCGATGTAAGGATAACGCTTCGCAAGACAATCAGTTCAGCTTCGGGTAGCCCGTCCTTGGAGGTCGATGTGCAGTCCCACTTAATCGTCTTCGTTCCCTCGGGTAGCAGCTCAGCCGCGATCTTGTCCGGAGCGGGGTGGGCCACGGTGTAGTCGGTCTTCAGAAGGATGTTGGACAGCCGGAGCAGGTCTGTGACCCATGGCGCCAGCAGCGTGCTGCCTCCGTCAGCCAGTTCGAGGACGCGGATCTTCTTGGTGCTCGTGTTCTCGACGACGACGTCCAAGAGGTGCCGCAGCGGATCCTCTGCGTAAAGGACCGTGTTGAGGAAGTCACGATCTAGGTCCTCCTGGTGGGCAGCCAGGGCGGACTGAACTGTGGCAACGAGAGACGCGGCAGAGCCATCGGTCTGTTTCTGGATGGTGGCCAGGACCTTGAGGAGGCCGTGATTATCGCCGGGGTTCTCCAGGTATCGGTTGAGGACTTGCTCGGGAGCTTCACGGAAGCCGTTCATGACGTCGGAGATCTGAGCCTTGTTCTTGCCGCAGGACTCGAGGACACGCCGGGCGACACCGCAGCACACCTCAACGTACTCGCGAATTTGGGATTCGCGTTGGCTGCTGGCTTTCTCGTCGTCTACGTATGACACAAACTGATAATCTTCGAGGAGAGGTGTTTGCTGCACGGCACGCCTTGGGGCGATGCTAGCCTTGAGGCCTGTTATGGCAACGCCACCAGCAAGACACGTGTTGAGGTATGGGTTGTAGACAACGTCGATGCCTTTGAGGAGGAACAGTTAAATAAGAAAATCATTGTATGAGAACACGTGAGAACCGCCAAGACAATGTTACGAAAATGAAGACAGAAGCCAATTCCTACAAAACCATATCCTTTCTTTTTAGTAAAACTTCTTTCTCTAAATTCTGCTAATTCTGCGTGTAAACATGTCAGCCAACTAAGTTAATTAATTTTTCAAAATTAAGAACGAGAAGCGCGGAGGGTCTGACATGCTTTGCACTCGAATTTCATAAAAATAACCGTGAGTCTAGAACTTAAAAAAAGCAGCATGACAGGAACAGTGATACAAAACGAACGAATACCTCGAGATAAGCACTTGTCATGCGGTATTTGTTCCTAAGGGGTCCTTGTCCATCTAGAGATGATTGATGCTCTGCTCTATTCATCAATCTTATGACGCTGATAATGTTGTTATTAGCCTCGTGTGCCCCCAAATCTCCTCTAAATAGATGCTCATTTTCCTCTTATCATGTACCCTAACTGCTTGAGTCTTTCTTTGTACGCCAATAAAGAGCGAGGAAGAGGAAGCTGAAAAAACAACAACAGCAGCGCCTGTGACGTGTGCTATTACGTAAATAACTTACTGAACTAATGTAGTTTATAACTAAGATTATTACTTATGCTGCCTCTAACAGCGTTTTACCACAATTTGACTTTAACAGGAGGTCCCGGTACAGTCTTTGACTTTGGACCTCCTTTTGTATACTAAACACATGTCATATTCTTGTATTCGTATCAATAAAAACAATTTAAATCTGAACCAGAGTTAAGAGAGCGAGCTCCAAGCGTCCTTGTCACCCTTATATATTTCTTTAGCAGAGGCTCACAACCTGATGATAAATGCGGAAATACGATAAGGTATAATTACCCGCATCACCGGCCTTCTCGTAGATCTTGGCGTGGACTTCAGGGTCGACGCGACAGGACTGTATCCGCACCGGCAGTCGGAGGGTTCGCACAGGGTTGCCCAGGATGCTGAACTGTAGCATGGTGTCGATGAAGGTTACCCAGTTGTCTGCCCAGTTGAGCTTGCCGTATTGCCGTGCTGCAAGGGTTGTAAAGTGAAGGTTCAGAGCGAAGCTACGAGTCACAAGAAAGTTTCTGCGTGTGATATAAGTGCTTCTACCTGCACGCTAATGTAATGTGGAAGCGAAAAAACACATTTGCTTAAAGCAACGCTCCTAAATCTGGAGTTAGAGCATCGGGTGTCCGCAGAAATCCTGCCACGCCGTTGCAGCCACCGCAGCAAGTTTGCACGCCGAGCGAGCGGAGTATAAACGATGAAAGGCCCACTCTTGTACCAGGGGTGCCAGAGCCTGCTGGACACGTGAGCTCTGGCGCTGAGTTTGAACATTCTTGCATGGTCCGTGACTCGAATCTAGTTTGTCTACTCCATGGAAAGACTTAGTATCACCCAAGAAGGTTACCTTAAGTCCTTAAGATCAACCGGCTTCCCTCTCTTTCTTAAACTTTACACGGCTAGAGCAAACTTATCCCTTTCTACACTTCGTGCCAACCCATTACAATGTCGTCATGTGCCAGTGACATTTTCGTGAAACCGACACAGTAAACCGACGCAGTGACACCGACACAGTTTCCAACTTGTCAAGTTCTACAGAAACCAACGCTTTTCTAAACACTGCAAAAACTACAATCAAGCAACGTTGTGTCAGCTGCAGAAAACGAACTTTCAGACTGTGTGCAACGAAGTTCATGATAAGTGAGTGTTTAAACTAGAGATTAATAAATGTGGGGATCCTTGAAGCTTTTCCATTAATAGTTGAAAGCGATAGTGACATCCTGTCTTTAGTGTGTAGTTCAAACACTTGGTGCATGAAATATTTTCGAACTTGCTATGAACCCCACTACGTGGCCTAAAGAGAATTTGCGCCGTAACGTGTGTGCCTTGTGTAGTGGGTGACCGGGTTTAAACCGTGAAGACCGGGTCAGGAATCTCGTCAAGCTGTTCTTTAGCAGCTTTTAATTCCCGTCCTTTGGTTTTAGGATGTTAATTTCCTGATATCAATCAATCAATTAATTCCTGTCCTTGCATCTTTCTGAATTTTAATCTGATTTGCATAGTCTTGTGTTGACCGTTGTCATCGTATAAAAACATCAAATAATTGTAACTGTAATATTGTCCTTCAACACGATTCTCGAAAAAGATTGCTAAATAATATAAACTGAAACTAAACTGAAACTGTAGTCATTATGATAATTACATGTTGTGACACCCGATGACAATGTACGCTTGTACCACATTATCGCATCTTCTATTGTGAAGTATGAACACAGGACGCATGTGTTTGCAAACATGATTGTTACTTTCAGTGCATTTCGAAGCAGAGGAGGTTATTTTTACTGCTTTCGTAAGCAGACACTTGGATGTGTGGTATAGAACACCCGCTTGCCACGACAACGAACCGGTTCAACCCCCACTCGGACGTCGACTTTTTTTATTATTCATTTATTCTACATTTTTCTCGATTTTTCGGTGACGCACAAGATGACCATTTTTCACTCACAACCACCGCCGATGCCGACGCCGACGCAGGAATTTCTGCGAAAGAATTAAAGCTCTATCGCGTTATAACTTACTGTTGAGGTCAGCCTTGATGATGCCCCGGAAACTACCGTGGTACTCGTAGCCCCGAAGCCTAAGCTCCTTGTAGATGTCGTCGGCCTCGAGCTCGTAGGTGACGGCCTCTGCAGGTGGCCCCGGGGGTTCCTTCTCCAGGAGCTTCTCGCCTTTTTCGGCCGTGCGGATGCGGCCACTTGCAGCCACAGTGCCAGCCTCACACACCTCGAACTCGCCAGAGGCGCGCATGATGTTCACCAGGAACTTCACAGAGCCTGCAATACCAGGTAGAAGCCGCATCTGGGTCCGAGCCATCCGGTAATGTGACCCATTGAAAACGCTAAGCGCACTGATATTCCATCGATAAAGTAGACCGAGATGAAGTAGGAGAAGATGGCTTTTGCTTTGAAGTTAATTTAGGCAACTGCTTAAGGTGCAGAGTGACTTTTTAGCCTATATTAGAGCGATAATCACACTGAGACACATAATGCAAAAAAAATGCATCATTTTGCCACGAGTGCGTTTTGTTCCTTGATGAAAGCGCTATATGTGTTCTTTTCGTTGTCTTTGTTTCGGCGTGGTGAGTGCTCGTTATGTGGCCAAAGGGAAATCAGCGGTTTCCTAATACACGGTGCCACGCACCTCGAGGTGAAGTCCGGTATGGTAATACAGTAGTTATGATGCTCGGATACTGACTCGGAGGTTAGGGGGTTTGGTTCCACTTGCCGTGGGGGCGTTTTCATGGAGGGTAAATCCTAGAGGTCAGTGTACCGTGCGATAGAGCACAATCAAGAACATGGTCATCATCATCAGCCTGACTACGTCCACTGCAGGGAAAAGGCCTGTTCAATGATCTGCCAATCGGCCCGGTCTTGTGCGTTCTGCTGCCACGTTATACGTGCGAACGTTTTATTCTCATCAGTCCGCCCAACTTTCTGTCTCTCCTTCGTGTGTTTGCCTTCTCTGGGAATCCAGTCAGTTACCCTTAATGACCAGCGGTTATCCTGTCTACGTGCTACGTGCACGGCCCATGCCCATTTCTGCTTCTGGATTTAAGTAATGATATCGATAACCGCGGTTTGTTTCCTGACCCACTCTGCTCTCTTCTTGTCTGTTAAGGCTACACCTATCATTTTCTTTTCCATCGCTCGCAGCGTCGCCCTCATATTAAGCTGAACCCTCTTTGCAAGCCTCCAGGTTTCTGCTCCGTAGGTAAGTACCAGCCAGATGCGATGCAGCTGTTATATACCTTCCTCCTCAGGGTTGCCATTCATGAATTGAGAATACTTCTCTAATGTGATTTACCCCATCCTTATTTTTCTTGTTATTTCACTCTCCTGGTTCGGCTCCACGGTTACTACCTGTCCTAGGCCGATATATTCTTGCATAACTTCCAGTGTCTCTCCACCTATTTCGAAGTGCTGTTTTCTGCTGAGACTGTTGCACAGTATTTTAGTTTTGTGCATACTAATTTTCCGACCTACCGTTTTGCTTTCCGTGTCCAGTTCAGTAATTCGTCCCCTGAGGTACTCATCGAGGCAATGTCATCAGCGAATCACCGGTCGCTAAGATACTCTCCCTCAACTCTTATCCCTAACTCTTTCAGTCTAAGACCATGATAACCTCCTGTAAAAACGCGGTCAATAGCATTAGAGAGATCGTGTCTCCTTGCCTTGCACCCCTTTTTAATGGGATTCTGTCGCTCTCTTTACGGAGAACTATGGTGGCTGTGGGTACACTGTAATTTTTTTCCATTATGTTAATGTTGGGTTCGTCAATGCGCTGATTCCTTAGAGCCTGCATTACTGCTGATTTCTCGACTGAGACAAACACCTTCTCGTAATCTATGAAAGCTTTGTATAATGGTTGGTTGTATTCGGCGTATTTCTCTGTTACCAGTTTGATGGTATTAATACGGTCTATTGTGGAGTAGCCTGTACGAAACCCTGCTTGGTTCTTTGGCAAATTAAACTGTAATATCGCCTTGATTCTATTACCTATTATTCTTATATGGTTTTGGAGAACGTACAGTAAGCTCATCGGCTTGTAACTTATCATATCTTTGATGTCTCCTTTAATATAGATTAAAATGATGTTGGCGTTTTCCTATGATTTTGGTTCACTTCCCGTCAAGAAACACTTCGTATATAAAGTGACAACAGATGGGTCAAAAGTTTCAGAGCCGTCTGCTGTGGCATGCCACATAATTACATCGTGGTTTTCACACGTGAAACCTATATTATTAGAAACACGCTCGAAGGCACATTGTTTATCGCATGCATGAGCGCTTGCAAGCTTTCAGGGTAAAGGCACTGCATACGTGATCAGAAACTCGGTGTTAGGAAGAGTGTTTAACAAGCCTATCTGATTTCAGCCATTTCAGTCACTTCCAATAATAACTGTCTTACCATCCAAACCTCCAATTTTGCTACGAGGTGCGTACTAGTAGAGGGAGATTGCTATCACTTGGGTTTCCTTAACGTGTACCTAAATGGAAGAACACGGTTCTTTCCAGTGTCCAGCCTTCATTGAAATGTGACCGACGTGACCGGGATACATCCGAAACCTACCGTGTCAGCCGTCGAGCACTGTGCAGTATGGGTCACAATGTCACCTTTTTTTTTTTTTGGAAGAATAGGCGTAGTATGAAACCGTAACGATATGCAACAGTCATACCGCATAGGTCCCTGTGCTCTTATTGAGAGCACGAACAGATGCTTGTAGCTCACGCGTAGTAGCAGCTGCTGTCGATGCCAGCGTCCCCAGCCGTACGCTCTACCAGTGTGGTATATCACCGCGGCGGTATACGCCATGTATTCCGGCGCTGTTGTAATATTTCTTTTGGTTCATACTGCAGCCCGTAGACCAAGCAGGAGGGGTGAAAAAAGGGAACACAGTGAAAACAAAGGGGGCGAGTTTGTACAGCAAAATTTTTCTTACTATCCTACGCCATAACTGAAAAACAAACACATACTAAGAAGAGTGAATTGAACATACACATACACAAAAAAGGTGCACAAATTGCCTGAAACAGTCTTAAGCGAAGAAGAAACGCAACACAACCGAACTCATGAGATGACGTTATACAGCTTGGTATCAACAATGTTGGCTAAGCAAAAAGATGCATGGATTTTGCAAAGTCAGGAATGCCATGTTCAGGAAAAGCACACGTAGGCGATGTATTCCATTCGCTAATGGTTCGTAGAAAAAAGGAGTGTTTGAAAAGGTTAGTACGTGCGAAGTATGGTGTCAGATAACGATTGTGGTTGTGTCTGGTTTGCCTGGAAGAAGACGGAGATAAGTATTCATGAGGATCAATATTAAACTGGCGATTTAGAAGCAGGAAAAGAAACTTGAGTCTGCCGATAGCTCTACGCTCTTTCAAAAGTGGAATGTTATTTGTAGCCATAAGTGATCAAGGTGAATCAGGATTGTAATAGACATTATAAATGAATCTTACCGCCCTTCTCTGGACCATTTCAAGTTTATAAATGCCTTTTTTAAAATGTGGGTCCCAAACCATGCATGCGTATTCTTGACGGGGTCGTATAAACGTACTGTATGCAAGAAGTTTTATTTGTGGAGGCACGTTTTTTAGTTTGTATCTTAGAAACCCTAGTTTTGTAGAGGCGGAGGAACAAGTGTCGCCAATATGGTTGCTCCTCAACAGCTGTTTGGTAATTTTTACTCCCATATATTTAGTATTGTTCACTTTGATGAAGGGATAATTATTCAAGGTTTACCGCAACGCGAAATGACTAATTCTATTTAAAATTTGCACAAAGACCTATTTACTAATGTTTAACTCCATAGACCAAGTATTGCACCAATCGGAAAGAGAATTTATGTTGTTATGCAAGCATTCTCGATCCCTTTCACTTTTAATTGACTTGCAAAGAATGCAGTCATATGCAAACATTTATAGGCTAATGGCCCAGGTATCAACTGATGAAATGATATCATTGATAAAGATGAGAAACAAGGCAGGGCCTAGGACGCTGCCCTGGGGAACTCCCGAGGTTACCGACAAAACCCCAGAGCAGCAGCCTTCGACCTGAACAAACTGCTTTCGGCTGGCGAGGTAAGAGTGAATCCACTGAATTATGTTAATAGGTAGGCCAATGTTTGAAAGTTTTGTGAGTAGTTTACCGTGACAGACAGAGTCAAACGCTTTTCTAAAATCTAAAAATATGGTGGCTATTTGGTCGTCCTTATGAAATGCTACTACGAAGTCATGAATAGTGGTGACGAGTTGGGTGGTAGTCGAGGGGCCTTTCCTAAAAGCATGCTGAAAATGTGTCAAAATACTGCCACGTTCATTTAGGAAAAGGAGCCAACTGGCATCGCTATTAGTCTTCCTTGCATGTGCTCAAGTGCATTCGTACTCCAGCCTGATGGCCAGATGTGTTGCGATGCGAGGGTAGATGAGAAATTGCCGTATACGCCCTTCGGGGGCTTTTTGTCAGTCGCCGACCAGAGACACGCCCCATCCAGTGTTTCTGGCTGTTGCGGAAGAGTACGTTCGAGATTCGTTTCGGGCACAGGTTAGCCCTATAAACCATCTTTTGTTTTACTGCCGTCGTAGTCTGCTTTCTCCCACCTGTCTGTACGCCGGCCATCCGTCACCTTCGTGACAATACTGTTTTCTTTAAAAATGACATATTGTAATGAGTGATGATGTGCTGAAAATGTTTACCTGAACCACAAGTTAATAATATAGGGCGGTAGTTCTCAACACTCAGGTGATCACCTTTCTTAAAAACAGAAATACCACGCACCGTGCGCCAGTCATCAGGAAGAATTGAATCACGGAGACAAAGGCGAAAAAGATGGGTGAAAATATGCGCGATAGGTTAAGTGTAGCGGTGCAGAAATATGTTTGGTATACCATTTGGACCATCAGATGATCTAGTCTTAACCTTAAGTAACAGTGAAAGGGCATCTTCGACTGTTATGAAATCGGCCGATATGGCAGGAAGAGACCTATTATTTGTGTCAGTATGATCTCCATGAGTGAGTACAGAGTGAAAATAATGATTGAATTGGATTGCAATTTTGGCTGGATCGTTAACAATATGCTCGTTTACTGATATCTCAGTAGGCAAAGGCGAGCACACGGGGAGGGGGGGGGCGCTACGACAGCGGCTAAAAATGAAGGTGCCTATTGGCTGAGCTTTTTGCTACGAAAGCCTTCTTACGCTACACCTACCGCTCTTTGGTATGATGGTGGCCCTGTGCAGAGTGATGTCCTCGAAGACCACGGGCACCTGGTCGAACGGCTTGCCACAGCGTTTGGTGAGGGACTTCCAGGCCAGGACCATGTAGCCGGTAGCGGGGAACAACACGCGGCCGTCAAGCTGGTGACCGGCTATGTAGGCGTCGCCTTCGTTGGACTCCAGGTCCACCTCGATAACCTCTTCGGAAACCTACAACGAACGTTCGGCAATGAACTGCTAGACAATAGTCATTGCAACAGGTGGAACGGACGACACAGACGGAGCAGAAACACGCGTGGCTAGTGTTTCTCTATAGCTGCTTTTTATTTTTATTTGTTTATTTACTATTTCGATTTTTTTCAAAGTGCATGTGCTTTGGCCGTTGGTTCGCTCAAATCAGACAACTATGGGACGTTTTAAAGAATCTCAATAAGCTCTATCGCAATCGCTCCAATCTTTAATAACCACACAAGATTATATATTGAACATTATATATAAAATATTTTCCTTTTTGGGAAATGCAGTATAGCAACGGGAATCGGTCAGTGAGCTCGCTGATATGTACGTGACACGTGGGTGTGGAAGTACTCTTGAAAACCTTTATCAGCTGCTCCTAAGAGCATTGGCTCAGAACTACATGGAAGTTGGTTTCTCTCTGAACAAGGCTTGTTACTCTTGGCAATGATGGGATAATACGCACAGAAACTGAACGAACTTCTTTAAAAACAGTGATATTCTGGATGAAGCCCGTGTTATTGTTGGCACCTCCTCGGCTATTCCTATTGGCCCGGATGGATCGCACGCCCTCTCTGATTGGTTCACAGTGTCGCCATTGCTAAAACTGATGATGTGGCGACCGTTTGTGGTGATAACTAGGTTGCACCGGACCGCACCTGCGACAACGTCGGGAAGTCGCTCCAGGAGACGACGTTCCATTGTTGCGAGTGGTCCCAGCTGACCAGATGGCCGATGTTCGGGGTGCCACGCGGCAGCGGCCACGGTACTGGCGGGTACAACGGAGCCAAGTCCAGCTGGACTCCCAGGGTGTGCAGCTTGCCCAGAGAGCTTAGGAAAAAAGCCACGTTGTCCACGCCCTTCTTCATCAGGCCCAGACAGCTGGCACCCGAGCCCAGGGCGCGCCGGAGAATGGCCTGGGATATAATTGTATATCTGTGATACGAAAAGCACGTTCAGATAAAAAGGAAGTTTAGTCGAAAATGGAAGCTGAAAGCGGTGAGAAAATTGTATGAGCACGGGGTGGAGCTGAATCCAAGGTTTCGACAAGTGCTGTTGTCTTGGACACTGCAAGAGTTGCAGCCTTGTAAAACACTGCACCACTCCTTGAAACGTTGCCTCACCCAGTTCGAGAATTGTTGATCGCATGATACCTATGCTCGCGATGCTTCACACTGGTGACTCAGATAAATAAAAATTACGGCATATTCACGGGGTGAATGATGATGAATGGGCGAAGCTCCGGAGGGATTCATCGGTAAACTGTGAATCTTCCGTGTAATTCGCCCAGTCGATCATCATGTAAAGACGTGAGAAACGCTGTGTGTGTATATACACAAATCAACTTTTATTTGTTCTTAGACGATGGATGGCTTGCGCTGTCCCTTGCCTCGCGCGCTCGCACATCGGGATTCTGTCTGCGAGCGCGCGCTGCTGCCGCCTTGCGCTCTCTCCGCTGTGCAGCCTTATCTATCCGGCGACTCCGAGCGCGCGCCAAGAGCGAACGGATTTTATTACAACGCTCCCCCTAGCGTACGTCGCCGCACTAAATCGAAGAATTGTCTTCAACCAATGACACGCGCCATATGTGACATCATTCCTATTTTATAAGATCTCGTGTCTTTCATCAACTACAAGTACCGCTTTCTAGTTTATAACATCTTGCATCTTTTCATCATCAGCTACAAGTACCACCATCTAGTAAACACTACAAGAACTAAACGAGAGGTGGCTACATACAGGAGACGGTACCGCCATCTAGTGAACACTGCAAGAACTAAACTAGAGGTGGCTACATACAGGGGACGGTACCACCATCTAGTGAACACTGCAAGAACTAAACTAGAGGTGGCTACATACAGGCTACAGGGGACGCACAGCCCACGCCCTAAGGAGCTTCGCCCCTAAAACATGAATAAGAGAAGATAAAAAATGGCAACAATCGCCATCACCGTCTGAATCAGAGAGAACGGGAATCGCGAAGATAAAATAACGAAACTGTCTGATAACAGTTAGTTAACTTGAAATTAAAACACCTATACAAAAGTTCTGCATAATGCGCTTACAGGAACAATACACCGGCGAATAAATAAAAATAAATGACAAAAAGAAATTCATTACTTGGACGGGCAGGTTAACGCGCGCACCCTGGATCCTGTACTTTGTAATTGAAAGCGAGATTATTCGCTGTCTAGAACCACCAGAATAACACGTTCCAGAAAACGTTTTGGTTCAAGCGTGGTAGTAGTACTATCAACTCGGGTGTCAAAAAAAAAAAAAAGGTATGCGTGGTTCACATAGCGAAGAAAAAAAATGGCAGTGGCTTAGCTCAGCCATGCCAGGATATACGTAGCGTTGGCAACAAAGGGTCAGCTGATCATTCTTAGCTTTCCAGATATCATGCTTACAGCTGTTCCAATGACACAGACACGGTTTACGTATTATGTGGCACATGTATATTTATTTTGCCGGGCTACTACTTCGGGATCCGATGAGTTAAGCTTCTCCGCTCTACTGCACCGTTGAGCAGCATTTGCACTCTCCTTCTCCATGGCTATACCACAGTGGCAAACGCCAGTCAGAGGCGCTATCAAGCGGCTCCAGCGCTGTGTCAGATGGCGACTGCACAGGGAAGGCACGCACGTCAGCGTCCATATTTCTACCAAGGCTATGACGGCACTCCTCTGGAAAGCGCACACCGGCGGCGGCGAGTGGCGCGCGGCCGCAGCCGAGTGCGAGGGAGGTGCCGGCTCCGGTGCGTGACTGCGCAGCGCATCGAATTGCGCGCACACCGGCGGCGAGCCGCGCGCGGCGGCGGAGGAGTATTGTTGCGCATGCGCAGACCAGTGCCACACGAAATTGGCTCAGCGAGGCCAGTGTAGCTAACGCTACAAAAAATTACATTTCCTTTTACAGGGAAACCTGTAGATGCGAATCAGCGTGGCTAAAGCTTACACTTGCGGTGACGTTGACGCTGGTGTTCATCGCGTCGTTGCGCCGCAGAGAAACCCCGAAAGGCGTAAAGCACGCAGTGATGGACCGTTGTTTCCCACTGAAACATGCCAATCGCTGTTAACGGGCAATGACAGACTGAAGACTCTGACTGGAAACAGAGATCCGCCATCCACTTTTAGTTGCCCTGCATGCTGTGAATTTTTATTGTTCAACAGAAATATCCCACCAGCATTACTTTGGAGATAAATATCCAGTGCCTATGTATACGTGGTGGCCAGTGAACGGTTGTGCAGCGTGAGCAGTCGTTTTAAGTGCGGAGCATTTCTTGGTCGCACGATGTCGCGCTTCGGTATTCGGCGGTGGCACCGTCCACACCCCCACCACGCATGCTCGCGTCTCGTGCCGGCCCAGGAAGACACCCGCAAAACTCTCGTTCCCCTCCCCCTTTCTCTCCTCGCATGGCCGTTTCAGGCAGAGCCTGCTAGTAAAAGAATGACTGCTCGCGCTGCAAGCACATTCATTCACTGGACACGCCGTATATGAAGGCACTGGATCGTGCGTTCGAAATTCCGTCAAGGGCGTCGTTACTTGGCTTTCGCTTGACGTTGAAGGCAACGCTTCTCGTTTATTCAATAAATGAGAACAATAAAGACGAAATAATGATTATGTATTCCCAAACCTAACCCAACTACACAAAATTCACGCGATACCCCCACCACTCTGCGACGCATTTACTCAAGTTACCCACCATGATTCCCAAACCTAATGCAACTACACAACATTCACGCGATACCCCCACCACTCTGCGACGCATTTACTCAAGTTCCCCACCGTGAGGAGGAGGAGGGTGCAACTTTATTTGAAAAAAAAATCAAAGTAAATGTGGTTGGGCCCCTAGACGTCCGGGAGCCCCCTGGCCGACATCTCTAAGCAGGCCCGGTGCCCCAGCCACAAGTGGTCGTCCGAGCCAGTGACCCGAAGAGCGGCCTCCCACAAGGAAAGGGAAGGGTTAGGGATAGGGTCTATACAACACCCTCTAGACTTTTAAGGCCTGAAGGCTGCCGCAGTGACGTCACAGAGCGGAGGCGAAGGCGGCGCCCGGCCGCCGTAGAGGAGTGCCTTCAGCATGCACTGTGAAGTAATGAACAGGCTGTTCCCGCCGCTAAAAAGGAAGTTTACAGCTGCAAATATTTATCGACCAGTAAACCTCACCCAATGTAACATTTTCTTCGTTTCAAACCAGCAAAAAAGCGTGTTTGGGAGAAAGAACTAGCAAGCGCACGGAAATGTCGTTAGTCAAGCCACCAGCAGTACATTTCCAGCGTGATAGTGAACTCGTACATAGGTATCGTCATCAATTCTTGTCTATCCTTGTTTACGTATCCCATAGGTAACAGGATCTTTAGTCTCATTGATATATACAACAAAAAGCAGCCCAAACGGATAGTTAAGGTCGAATCTCGGAAATAAGTACCTACATGCAAATCATTCCAGTCTGTTCAAATGGTTCAAAACAATACTACTCGTACACGAGCGTTAGCATTTGCCATTTAGCAAAAATAAAAGGTTGACTGCTTTCGGGTGTTAATGAGAATTTGCGAAACATTTCCCTTCGTGAGTTGCGACTGCCAGCGGGCGACACCTTTATGGACAGGCTGTAAATAAATTCCAGAGCAAATCTTACACAGATTGCGAGGCATTTAGAATGCTTTATAAATGAGGTTGGGAGACGAATAGCATCTTGTCTGAACAAGTTTATTTACAGGAACTTATTTACAGCACATTTATTTACAACACACAAGTTTATTTACAAAGCCACTTCGACAGCTATTTCTTGCTGAGTGTTTGCAACTTTCTCTTTTTTGTGCGTCAGAATGCGCTTTTAAAATGTCATCATTCATTCTTCTGCAGAAGTTTTTGAGCAGAATATTTGTGCTGCACCACAACACATATTTCAGAACTACCTCGCTGGTGTGTCCATCGTCGCAAGTGTCGAAATCGGACGACTCGTCATTTGTCAGCAGCTCCACCGTGAGATTTGTAACAACTTGCCGCTGGTTTGAGAGTTTCAAAAACACTTCGTTTTGTGAAAGTTGCTCCACGACGGCGTAATTATGTGCCACAGCATTCACAACCGACATTGCTGGGTGCACAAGCCCTCCTCGATCCATCGATCTGATGAGGTCGTAATGCTTGTCAGCAACTGACACTGAAATTTCCTTATTCAGTGTCAGTGCTTCCCTACACCTGTCGCACTTGAGTTTCTTCAAGGCCGCATAGGCTGCATACCCTGCCACATACACCAGTACAGGGATAATGTCTTTCATCTTTGACAGCGTCTTTTCTGTGACAACTACGTTGCAGCCGGGCCCTGAGCAGTTAGCTTCACTGTCAAGATCCTGCCATTGCTCGTCTGGGTCACTGACGCTTACAGTATTGACAACCGTCGGCAGCGTGCTTTGCAAGCGGAGTTTATTTTCACACTCATACACTTGCCTTATCGACACATGGTATTGAGCGCCAGCTAGCTGTCTGTATTTGCCGAAACGGTCTTCCAGGCAATCGGTCTGTATTTTGCCATGCAGCACATAGGTAAGCTTCAGTTCATCTAAGCAGTACCTGGAAATCTCAATGAGACCTTGCGTAGTCTGGTACAGAGCAGCATGGGTTTCCTTCGTCAGCGTACCACTATCGCAACCCTTCGTCCTTTCTTTCCACTCCTCCATCCAGTCCAGAAGGTTGTAGAGGAAATCTACTTTTCTGTCGGAAAGCGAAAACACGGGCTCTTGAAATTCGTCCCTTAATCTGGCTCCCTTAGACGGGGTCTTCACGTTCACGATCTTCCACCATTTCACCATGATTTCAATGAACGTGGCGGTCCCTTCTACATGGCAGAGATTGTTCTTTCCCCCAATTCACGAACAGTGGGAGGGACAGTATCGTTCAGTACTTGCAAAGCAAGTTTCACATTCTGCTTCTCGAGGTTTGACGGAAACAGGGCTTTCCGCGACAGCGTGTAAGCATGCCTGAGTAGTTGGCCAACCTCAAGGTTGTACACATCTACAATGGTGCCAAACGATGCCGACAGCATACGTCTTTCCGAAGCCGTTTGCTGCTCGAATTCTGGGAAATAGAAGCAGCGTTGGTGATTGCGCTGTTTTATCCAGTTGTTGCGAACGCACTTTAGAATGTGCACTGGATCAATCACAAAGAATAAAGGCCTTTTGGGATCGCAAGGGTGCGGGTACACGAAAGCTGGCGAATCGCTGGCTAGCGCTGATGAGAACTGCTCCATTGCGTTACGGTTCACTCTGTTGTTATCGGTCTCAACACAAATGTCTTTGTACCCGATCTTCTCAAGACCACCGATGACATCCATGAGCAATTTGTGCAAAATATTTCCTGTGGCGCCGCGGAGAGGCACTATGTGAGCAACTTCTTTAAAACTAGAGGCAACGCTCTGCACCATAAAAACCATGGCGCTAGTAGCGGCCTCGTGGGTGTTCTGCGCAGTGCCGGTGATGTTACCGCCCTTGTAATCGAAGAACGGTTTAATGTGGATCTCGTTCACCATGACAGTAACTGCGCGTTGAAGCTCGGATATCCAGGCCAGATATCCTTGTCTTCATGTAACCCAAGAAAGTAGAACTCTTATGTTCTGCCTGTGGATTCATTCCCTGGAAGGAACATATAGACCTGATAGTTACTGGATGTAACATTGTGATATCACCATAACTACGCATATATTTGTACGCATGTGGCGATATTGTGTACAGGAGGCAACTAAACACTGTGAACTCCGGTGAGTACCGCCTCCGCGTCTTGTTTTTAGAAAGCAGCCTCAACTGCTCTGTCAAGAATCGTATTGCGCCGGCGTTGTCCTCTTGCCCCAGCGGCAATGCACTGAGCAGAAAACAAATGGCCTCAATAATGTCCTCAGTGTGCTCTTTCGATGGTGAGTCCGTGTTGGAGTCCCATGCCTGGACACCGTCGAGGAATTTCATGACGGCCCTTTTGCTTTCTGCTGTAGCCGGGACGCACAAATCGCGCCCTAACGTTGTTGTCGGCTTCTTCATAAAGTGGAAAGTTGTCCCCATGTCAGCTTTTACAACAAGCGAATACTTGATCCAAGGAGCTTCGTCTTCCACGATGTGGACTATGACCAGCCGTTCTTTGTTCTCGATGATGTGCCAGAATGTTGAGTCTTGATTTCTCAAGTGACAAGCTAAATCTCTAATGCATGCTATTCTGTCGGCCTCTTCTTCGCGGAGAGACGTTTCTGTGGATTCTGCAATAGCTGCCTGGAGGGCTTCCGCTTCAAACCGCTTCCGCTTCGAGTCCGGGCTTTCTCTGCTTGTGCTCTCTTTTGAGAAATATGATGGGCAGGCCGGAAATTTCGAAGGCACAGCACCAGGACGAATGCAAGAACTGGGCAAAGGCGCCGTTACCGTACGCCCTGTTCGATCGTCGACGTACGAAGTCTCGTACATTATGTCTTCGGGTTGGAAGTGCAGCTCGCAAACCTATAAAAAACGAGTCGCACTTTAACTTCAACCTTTCACTGCATAAACTTTTAGTGCCGTGGGCGTTTTGAAGAAGAAATGTTGTGTACTTTTAATTGCAATCTAGAGCACAAAGAAAATTTTGCGGGATAACTCACCCTGGAATACTGTGTCGGACTGAAGTTCTCTCGCGGTACAGCGCGCACCCATTTCCTGCACAGTTCCTCGTCGTGGGGAAACCGGAAAACGCGCACCTTGCGTGTCGAGTCATAATTGCCGCGGCACTGCGGCACACAACACTTGTACGGCATGGCGAACTCAGCAGGGTGGTTCTTCAAACTTTATGTTCCACACATCACCACAACACGGCTGATAACCACAATTAAATCACAAAATGCACGCAATCACGAAAGCAATAAAATCACAGCACAACGTGTATGCACGTGCACCCATGTGCGCCGGAAAAAAACTGACATGACCGGTTTGTTGCGGGACTACTTGTATTCCGCAGTAAAATATATTGCGCTCTCACTACGACGTTTCCCAGATGAATAATATTGTTTTGTTAGAATATCAGTGCTATATGAACAATGCTTGAACACCCACAGAGATAATTGCTTTCCTGTTTTTTTTGAAATATCACCACGATTCAGAAAAATAAATGTTTGTTGTACTATGGTGCCGCCATCTAGTGGGCCGCAATGAAAACTGGCGGAGAAAAATGTTTTCATTGTGTGCTTCCGCGCCCACCACAGCGCCTTGCACCGCTGCCTCCCACGGCGGCGGCGACCGCCTACGCCCCGTGACGTCACCACACTGTGACGTCAGCAGCCCTCCGGCCTGTAGTCTAGAGGGTGTTGGTCTATACCGCCACGGCCTTGGGGCAGTTCCACAGGCAGTGGAAAAGATCAGCCCGGGGTGCCCCGCAGGTGGTGCAATGTGGTTCGTGAACAGTGTAGTAAAATGGGTGTGCCAGATAGGGAGAAATCAATGCTTTTGTCTGCAGCTGGCGCCAAACTGAACTCTGATTAGGGGTGAGGGAGAAGTGTGGGACAGGGAAATCTTGTCTGCCGTTTCGTTAATACCTCTTAATCTCATGGTGGGTGCAGATTCTCTCTTGTTGTTTTCTCACGGGTTATGAGCGAGCCACCAGGGTCCGGATGGGAAGACCTCGGACATGCGCATGAACGCGCTCATTCCCGGGGATGCACTCATGGCCAGGCACTCACGTGATAGTCACCGGATGGAGAAGTGAAGGAATGTTGCTCAGTATGCGTGAGACTGTCTTTGGTGCTATGCCTTGACGGAAGTATCAATAAGCGCTCTGGGAATCAGTGCAAATTTCTGTAATTGTGAAATCTGCGGCCGCATGCACCACTCCTAGGGCTAGTGCAACCCCCTCAGCCACGTCGAGGTGTGCCATTTCAACGGACGCGGAAATGCTAATGCGCCCGTCATCTGTCATGGCAGCAGCCGTGGCCGTTCCTTCAAGTGGGCCTACCGCAGCGTCGACATAGAAAACCTCTTCACGATTTTTGTACCTTCGTATGTAATAATCAGCACATGCCTTGCGTCGACCCGAATAGCGTTATGGATTCATGTTGCGCGGCAATTGCATGTGTGCCGCGACCCTTATTGGAATAGGCGACCATGCTTCTTCGTTACGCATCGTGTTGCTTGATTCCAAGGCTCGGAGCAGGTTCCGCCCTGTAGGTGTCTCCCCACCGTGAAATGTGGGCGGATATATATATATATATATATATATATATATATATATATATATATATATATATATATATATATATATATATATATATTTCAACTATCTCGCTAGCAGACGCTGCTTGCGTCAGCATCGCGAGGCGAGAGAGGAGGTCGATTAGGAAATGAGAGAGGAGGATAGGACGTGCATGCGCAATGGCGGTGTATATGAATGCCTAGAGGAGAAAAAGGGGGACGCGAGCGTAGGTTAGCAGACGCACACTGCGTCGGCGTTGCAAGGCGAGAGAGGGGGAGTGTAGAAGAGGAGAGAGAGTGGGAGCGGACGCACATGCGCAGTAAAGGTGGTCACGCCGCACACCAGATTGAACTCGACCATTAGCTGCTTTGCATATCAAAAAATTGCGATAAGGAAGAGTTCAGGAATTATTGCAGACGCGGTATCTTCGAATGGCAAAAACAGCATAAAAGATGCGCTACAGCCTGAATATATCATGAACGTTAGTTGCCTATTTCGTAGTTAGTGGTTTTAATGTGCGGTGAGACTTTGAGAGTGAGTTGAGAAACTCGGCAGCATAGCAGGGGTAATAAAAGCTGTGGCAGTAAAATTTGTAAGAAATGTCAAAGATGGACGCATGTTTTATTGAAGCTGAAATCTAGTTTTAAATTGCCTTCAGTATTTCTATTTCTTGTTTGGTTTTAACGTATATGTAGTTTTTTCTGAAGAACTACCATTTGCAGTGCATGGGTATTTTGAACAAAGCGAGATACTAACACTTTACAGAAGGGGACCCGAAATTGTGTGTGTACATGAAAAACTAGATTTGTTTTTACGTATATTTCTGCATGAAAATTGCCACTTATGAATGATTTTTAATGCGAAAAGTGCAAATGCTCCTACGTTAGTTATTCTAGTTTCTCTTATGTACATGTGGAATATTAACACGTGAAAGAATATTTGTTAGTTTTTGCCTAATAGTTGCCAAGAAAAAGGGATGCAAAAAACCAAAAATGTACCTTTGAGAAACACGCAGAAACCACATAGGGGCGTACCCACAGTTCTTGTGCGCTTGCCTAACATACAGAAGAAATTTTTTTCCAAGCAGTGTATTCCCACCTGTGAAAACCTGTGTGATTGGAACAAAAGGACTAACAAACTAATCTGTATCATTATCCTTCTGTGTCAACATACGCATCACTTTTCTTGTTTATTTTTTTGTTTTTAAGGTACCTTTTATCTAGGTTATTGTCTATTACTAATAAAATAGATATATAGTTGGTTCATTTCCGTGAGCATCAAAATTTTGTTCTAACATTTGTAACATTGTCATTTTATAACCTCCATTACTCTAAAATAGAATAAGATTTTATGTGCAAAGATCATCGGTTCCTTTTATTGGTCTGGTGGCACATAATTGTTATCTTGTCCGGCGTTAGCTCAATCACGAGATCAAG